AGGTTTTTTTTTTTTTTTTTTTTTTTTCCTTTTGTACCAGGTACTGAACTCAGGACCTTGTGCTTGGAAGGCAGGCGGTGGAACCACTGAGCTAAATCCCCGGCTCTAAGCAGGATTTCTTAGAATGAAAAATAAGGAAAATATGAGGCTAGTATTATCAGGTTTCAAGCTTGTTATAAAGCAGTAACACTACTAATGAGATGCAGGTTCACAGGAAGAGTTCAGGAATGAATGGAAAGTGTGAAAAGTGAGCTTGTAAGGAATGACTTCCACTCAGTGGGGGGACAAGACCTTGGGGCAGAGGGGCAGGCCTCAGCACAGATCCAGCTAGACTCATTTTCTCATCTTACACTGAACTGTAGTCTACCTAAACATATAAATACATTGAAAAGCCTGGAGAAAAACAATTTTTAAAATTCTGTAATAACCTTGTACCGGGGAAGGTTGAGAAATGAAATAAAAACCTAGATGCCCCAAAAGAAGAATGAAAAATACTGCTATTTACAATATATATCAAGTTTTTAAAAAGTTTCAAAGGCAAATGAAAAACCAGAAAAATATCTGCAACTATTACCCTACAATCTACCTTATTCTTTTTTTGGTACCGGGGATCACTCAGGACCCTGCACTTGCAAGACAGGCATGGTGCCACTGAGCTAAATCCCCAGCCCAAACTACCTTATTCTTATAAAAGGTACAAATCATGTCAATATAAAAAGGTCACCTTCCCAAAAGACAAATGGGCAAAGAATATGAACAGAAAATAACAAGCTCTTAAGTGAAAAGATGCTGACAGTCTCACCTAAGAAAAATGTAAATCAACTCCCCAAGAGGGTGGTGCAATTCTGTGGGTGGAAGCTGCAGGCCACCATGGGAGCCAGTGGGGCATGGACTTCAGTCACTGATACCCATCCCGCCAAGGCCAGGGACGGAAGATACATGCTTCTCCCAAAACAACTGTAAGAAAGACAAGTGTCTGCTACAGTTATTTACAACCGGCAAAATATCTCTGGGAATCTAACTGCACACTGTTCATCTCTTTCGAGAGACTTGTTAAAGGCGTGTCCTGCCCTACTCCATGGGATCTGGACAGTGTGTGAGTGTGAGTGTGTGTGTGTGTGTGTGTGTGTGTGTCACTGACTACACCAAAGATTAACTCTGTGTGTGTGTGTGTGTGTGTGTCACTGACTACACCAAAGATTACTCTGAAGCCCACAGTCCTTAATTCTGTACACCCTGCCTCTGTGTGTGTGTCACTGACTACGCCGAAGATTAACTCTGAAGCCTACAGTCCTTAATTCTGCACACCCTGCCTACAAAAGACATGGCCAGTGATGAGGAAGCCCTCTCAGTGGACGTGAATTTGGAAGAAACACTCCAGTTCTGCACATGCTGGCAAAGGGCAGACTGGGCAGAGGTAAGGGGTAAAACACTGCAATCAGACCTTTTCAGCGGAGAAACAGGTTAAGTCCCATTAATGTCTGATGTGTGTCTCCCACCGGAGAGTCTCCCTCTGCCAGTGTCTGCCTGGGCTCCAATGCAGTGTGAAGAACCCCAACAGTGCAGGCCCATCTGTATCCTCTGAAGGGCTGAGAGTTCTAGGATGGGCTCTGAGTGCAGCTGCAGTGCTGATAACTGGCTCGCAGTGCCTCTACTATGTGCAGGTGATATGGTTATGCAACTACCAGCTCCTCCCTTCTGCAATGGAGAGCTCTGACATCTGCCCAGCAGAGGGTGCGTGAATGTCTGGTCTCCCTGGCTCTGCCCCTTGTATCTTCTCCCTTTGCTGCTATTGCTCTACAGCTTTCCACCAAGGTAAATGACAGTGGTGAACATGGCTACCTGCTAGGGTGCGTAGGTCTTCTTGGTTCACTGAGACAGAGGGACATAGGGACCCCAACACAAGCAGCAAAGTCAAAGCTGCTTTGCTCAAACCACCTCAAAGCAATGGTTTTTGAGAGCAGAAAGCATACTCAATCCAAGGCTGACTGGTTAGGGTGTCATAGGGAGCTCAGATAAGCAAGAAAAATGCTCAGCCCTGATAAACAATCTTACAAGTTTAAATTTGGAACTACTAAGTAAAATGCCATTCTGGGCAAATGCAGTTCACCTTAATATGGTTCAAGACCATATCATTAACTATGTGTAAAATGACAAACTGTTGGCTATTTTAGCCAACTAACAATTGCTTGTAAGGTACATAATCAAATCCCTTATGCCTCAAAGCAGAAAAAGTAGAACTGATGACTGAACAATTATACTTCAAGTGCATAACAAATCCTCAAGATGCCAATCAAGTAGAACACCAGCCTTCACCAGAGAAGGGCAAGCTATGTCCAGGAGGGCAGTGGACTATGAACCAAGGATGGCACATCCAGCTTTTTATTGTTTAGACATGAATCCCTGGAAGAAGATGAGAGTTCTAGAAGCAGAAATGTGCATGGACAACTGAGCTAGATTAATGACCTAAGCCACAGTGGAGAAAGGCTAGGCCAGCCAGACCTGGACCTTGGGTGCCCCAAGCTCAGGCAAAGGCAGCACAGGAGAGCTGGGCAGGACCAGCTGACAGAAGTGAGGAGGCGTCCAGCTCCCCAGCCACAGCCCTCAGGTGAGACAGGTGGGGCCAGATGCCCGGGTCCCACACCCCACACCTCTGATGGTGGGAGTGAGGACAGGCTCACATGGTAGAGGTCAAGAGCCTAGCCTGCCTTCCTAGGGCATGTGACCACCTCCGAGGGGGAGACAGCCATCCTCAGGGCATTTCCATCAAGGCAGCAGCCAACCACCCTACCCCGTGGTGAGCTTTTTCAGGTGACTTCTACTGGGCAGCATCACTGGGAACTGGCTGAAGTGCGGACTCCTGGGCCCACCAGACCTGCCCAGGCATAACTTCTACAGTCTCTGCTTCACCAGCCTTCTGCGTGATTCTGATGATGATCAGGTCTAAGCACCACCACCCTACAATGCCACTTACAGCCTTGGGACATCAACCACACACTGGGACTTGCAGATGACCTAGGGCCACAGAGGAGACATGCTCCAGCAAACAAGGACACAGACCAAAGATCCCAAGACTCCAACAGAACAAAGCGGAAGCAAACAACCTGCGGGTGACCACCTGCACAAAAGGCAGGAGGAGCTAGAACATGTAACCCCCATCCAAATGTCTGAAAGCTCTGAGGCAGCTGGCTAAGGCTATAAATTTGGTTAATGTTAAGTGTATACAAAATTAACTACTAAGCATTCTGGGAGGCTGAGACAAGAGGATTACACGTTCAAGCCCGGCCTGAGCAACACAGCAAGACCTCTTCTCAAAAATTAAATATAAAAATTATAAAAAATATAAAAAATGGGGCTAGGTACGTATCTCAATGCAAAGGCTTTAGGTTCAGCTCCCAATATTGAGGTGTGGCGTACCACAAAAGAATCCCAGCATTTGGATGCCTGGGGATGAGTAAAACCACTTTTTCTGTTGGAAAGCAGTGAAGTGAAGATGATCAAGCAGTAGCTCACAAGAAATATAATATACTTGAGGCTATGGAAGGAAACACCGCTAAACTAGCTAATGTGCTAACTGGTGAAGGAGGTGTGTGGGAAAGACAGAAACGCACAGCTTCCTTCTCCCTAAACAAACCCTGTGTAACTATGTGACCCTTTCAGCTATACAGATTCACAACGTTAAGAAAAACAAAACAAAACAAATTGCTTGTTCTCTCCAGTGACCTGGAAAGGCTTCTGGGTACTGCCACACACATAGCCAGAGGCACAGGTAACTGAAATCCTGTCCTGTTCAGGCCAGCAGTAACACTGTACCTGCACTAAGCAAGCACAAGGACAAGCCAGGCACAAGGAGGTCCACTGCTGCTACTGGGCCACGGGAGGCCAGAAAACCTCCTGGTGTCAGACACGAAGTGCAAACTGTAAAGATAACCACTTGGGCTCAGCCCCAGGACTGTGACTTGTTCCCTCAAAGTGAAGCTCTGACTGAGCTGACATTCACACAGCACAGAAAGCAACAGGGCCAAGGAAGGGCTGATGTGTTCACAGATACTCCCTCCTCTGCTCAGTGCTGACGAGCCAAAGCAGGGATATGTGTGAACACAGCTACTCTGTTCCTGACCACCACTTCCATCATGCAGTGCTGTGGTGGAACCCAAAGCCCAGCATATGGTAGACAAGGGGTCACCAGTGAGCCACACCCCAGCTTGGCGCCATAGGCAAGGGGGGACATAATGCAGATGGCCAAGTCCTCCAAGAGCCAAGACAGCTTAAACACAAGGTAGACAGGAGCCTCACAAACGAGGGTTCACTGTCACCTTATGTCACATCCACCAACCGACAAAAAGCACCTTCTAGCCTGGGTAAAATGGTAAAGTACTCAGAAAAGCCACACTGGTATTGAGTTATTTACACACTAAACAGCCCCAGGTAGTCTGTTATCAGGATGGTTTAACTGTTGGCATGTCATCTCCTTGGCAGGAGTGGCCAGTGACCCTCCCTAGCTCCTGAGTGGAACCTGCACATCAGTGGCATATCCTTCCTTCCTTGCTGGCCAGGTGGGAACCCTGTACAGGATGCACTGCTGGCCTGATTCAGAGCGAGGCACCCAGTGAGCAATGCATCTGGGAAACAGTCACTCAGGTTATGACACAAAGCTGAAAACAAGCTGCTGAAGCCCGTGGGGGTGTGGACTGGGTCCCTGATTGTGAGGGTGGCACACTGTGCGCTGCCACAGGGGCCCATGTGCCACAGGACAACATGGTGTATTACCTTTCGACTGTATCTTCTCACAGTTGGGAGAAATGATGACACATTTCAGCTTCTTGAGCTTGAGATGTTTGAGAACTTCCCTTAGCCCCAGCACAAGCCGGCGTTTGGTCTTAGCTTTGACTGGATCCTTTTGGTACATACGGTCTTGAAAACGGACCAGTTCCTTGAGTAGGTCCGTGACACAGGCATCCACTTCTTTACTGAGCATCTGGCTGCAGTAACTGAAGGGAACACATCAGACACCAAGAACTTGGCCCCTGGCCCTGTGACCGTCCACCCCAGGAAGAAGAGACACAAACAGCATCAGACAGAAGTCACAGGGACAGTAGTAACACTCATCAAATCCTGGAATTCCTGAATGATTCTAGGAAAGGTAAAGACTGAGGCATTGTCCCTGGCTCTGAATCATAACAGGACAAACACCTCTGGGTCCTGCTATCTATCCACTGCGGCATGCACAGGTCACTGCCTTAGCCACTCCCCAGTGCATCTTCCCGTTCTGAATACAAACCCCTGCATGAACTACCCAGGAAGAGAAGTGGGAAGGGGAGAAAGAGCAGGCAAACAGGGTCAAAGAAATCTTGCCCTTAAGCACTTTGTACAGAAAATGAAATCATGAAAGGGACCTAAATGACATCACTGCCACCTCACCACCCATCCACCCTCAAATCCTGAATCAAGGGCATCTCTTCTATCATCACTGACAGGAAAGAAACCACAAAAGACAGACAAACACAAAGACCAGGCCACCCCTCAACACCCTTAACTGGGTACCTGACTACTTTTAACCTGGAGGACTAAAGTGCAGAATGGTCTACCTACCTGGATTTATGGTGCTATGCACAAAAGGGGAGAGAAACCAGTACCAAACCCAACCTAAGTGCCCTGCCTCTCCCAGGCCCCAGCAGGCAAGTGCTCACTCACTCCCGGAATCTGCGGCTGTGAATCTTGGGTAAACTATCGTGGTCCAATGCAGGCTGGCAGGCCTCAGCATCCTTCTGGAGCTCTGCATCAAGTGGCTCTTCTGATTGGGCTTCAACCTCAGGAGTGGAGGAGGCCAATTCTTCTGCTCCCCCTGAAACTTCAGGGATGAAAAAGTCACTGTACTTGTCTGCAGGGGCTCGTGGTACAGTGAAGACTGACACCTAGTGATGGCCCATGTCCATCCCACTGATGTGACCAGTGCCGTTCTCCCAACAGTGCTGCAGAGCAGCAGAGTGGGCAGCTAACATAGCCTCTGGAAGCAGAAAAGCTGACAGGTCTTCCAGGTCATGGGCCTCCCCCTTCCCCTCCGTCTATTTATTCATTCATTTTTACACAGGAAAATTACCATTCTGACCACCTTCAAGGGTATAGTTCACTGGTCATATTTATCTTGTAATTCTGGAACTTGATCTGAAAAAGTCCTAGTTTTTTTGTCTTTTTTTTTTTTTGGTACCGGGGATGGAACTCAGGTCCTTGTGCTTGCAAAGCAGGCAGTGGAACCACTGAGCTAAATCCCCGGCCCAACGTCCCAGTTTTAAAGTTTTAAAAACCAGGGCTAAATGGATGCATATTGAGGCCATACTCTTAAGTAAAATAAACAGGACACACATGTGTAAATACTGAATAGTTTCTCTAGTGTGAAAAACTAAAAGTGTAAATAAGATCCAAACTGTATAAATGATGTGAAATAGGAAGAAAAGGGCTAAAGGTGTAGGGGAAGTTCCCACTTCCCAGGGTAGGGGAAAGGAAATAAGGGAAAATAAAAAATATGAGAAAAGGAAAAACTGGAAACAAAGTCTTTATAAATAGGGAAGGGTAGAGGGGGTGAAGCGAGGGCAGGGGAATGGGGAGAAAAATGAGAATCAAGATCTGTTATGTAAATGTACAAGATCCCAATGATGAATGTAACTGTACTGTATACCTAAAACGTACCAACAAACACAATGAAAAAAACCAAAACAACAACATCAACAACAATAACAAAAAAACCCAGGGCTACAGTTCCAAGCTTTTATACTTAAATGGTTGAAGATACTCTTTTTTTAAACAATCCTCATGAACTGAACTCTAACATTTGAACTCCCACTTGGGGTGGGGAGTGCAGCTCAGTGGTAGGACACTTGTCTGGCATGCCTGTGGTCCTAGGGTTTATCCCCAGCAAGGAGAAGAAAAAACAAGAAATAAAAAAACTTATGAGTGCCTCAAACAATAGAGGTATGTTTAACATATGGTGTGGTTCAGTAACAGCTTGCCATCCCCAAATGGCTGCTTCCCTAGACCGTGAGAGAAAGAAACTCAAGAACACAGCCACACCTGCTGGAGTGAAGCTCAAAAAAGACAATACCCAGGGCAGGAAGGACAGGAGCACCAAAGTCTCAACCTCTCCCCAGGCTGGGGTAGAACAGGGAGGACACCAGGGAACCTGTGCAAGACCTACTAATGCAATACTGCTACCACGGAAAATGCCAGATGAATGCGCTTGTGTCCTTCTAACAGCCTGAGCTAGAAACTGCCTTCATGCCCACCCCAGCCCTGGCCTATCCATCCACCTGAGTACTACACAGCAATGACAGTCAGATAGGAGGCCAGCTGTGTGGCATGGCACAGGAGAAGGGTTTGGATTATTTTGCTTCCCCATCCAGGTGCTGGATTCCTTTGCAGTAAGTCCATAAGCTCTGCCTTGTGCCCTGGAGACTTTTATGAAGCCCAAAACAGACACATTAGGGGGTTGGGGACTTAGCTTAGTGGCACAGTGCCTGCCTAGGAAGCTGAAGGTCCTGAGTTCAAGCCCCACTACCAAAAAAAAAAAAAAAGACGTATTAGTTTCTATGACATGTTTCCTATACCTCCTGGCAAGCTGTTGTTACTAGTGTTCACAAATACAGCCACTTCCAGTCATAGGCGCTTCCTGTGCCACATGGATGGATCACACTCAGAGGCTCATCTCCTTTGACCCCTGAAGACCCAGAACCAGGTTTGGACACCACACTCCATCCCTGGACTCCTCTCACCCCACAGCTGGAGTATGAATACTGCAACCCATGCTCAGCACTGACCAGCATGTGACCAGAAGCTGGCCACACTTCTCCCCGACAGTGTGCTGTGTTCATGGCAGCTCCCACCTCAGGGACCCTTTAGATGAAAACACAGAAACCCCGAGGTACCTGTGGGGCCAGCCTGGTTGCCGGCCTGCTCCTCAGCACCGCTCTCTGCATCCTGTGCCTCATCACTGGCCATAGCTGGGCTCAGAGTATTCTCTCGGAGTCTCTGCTGCTTTCTCTCTTCCCGTTCTTTCAAAATAATCTTCCAAATTAAAAAAATGATTAAAATGCCTAAGTACCAGTACCTAAAAGATAAATTCCTCAACAAAATCAGCTGCGTGATTTCAGTTTGTTGAACATGCCTGGTTGTGCCTCAGGAGTAGGACAGTGCGGGGACAACAGAGAACTGGCAAATTGGTATGGTACAAAGCAGGCAGAGAACCCTGGGCTCTGAAGCCAATTCTGTGGCCCCATAGTCATGGCCTCTTGAGTGGAGACCAAGGACACACAAGGCTATGAGATCCAAGTAAGTGTACGCAGACTACCAGCCGTGGGGCAAAGGCACAAAGTATGAGGGAAATGTAACTCTCCCCTTTCCAGTCTTTGGTCCTGTCACCACAAAGTGGAAAAAAACACATTTCCCTTGCAGATGGCTGAAATAATCCCTGCTTCCCATACTCTGTCTCCTTGGGAGAGTGAGGGATTGTTTGCTAGAGACAAACACACAACTGGATGTGACATGTTCGATATAAACCTGAAAATCTGGGAATCTAAGAGCTGGGAGATGTCAGCATGGGTATGTGCAATGATCTGCTTTTCAGTGCCTCATCTGTGGAAATGCTTTACACACCTTCTTCAGTGAGGTGGGCTTCTTGGCCTTGGGGACCTCCCTCTGCTTCCCCTTCTTTATCAGCGGGGCGCTGGAGTCCAAGGGGTTGTGTGGAGTCTTCACCTGACTGAAGCGGTGGCCCCTCTCCCCGGAGCTGGCTTCTTTGGAAAGGACGGGCACTGCTCCAACTGCAACAGTGTGGAACACATGTGTCACAGGTCACTTACCAAGGGCCCTGAGCAGCTCTCAGGCCTCAACTACCTAAGAGGTCTGCAGGAGTCGCCAGTGCTGCCTGAGCCTGACCTGACAACCTTTTCATCTTCCTCAAACAGCTCTTATCTCTGGCAGTGATTCTAAATGAAATTTACTATCTTTTTTAGAAAACCCTAAAAACATACCAATTAATCTGGGAAAGCCAACATTCTAACTTTAAAATCAAATCTTCAGTTTCTCTCTGAGGTCAAACGGTGTGCAGATCACAGCTTTTACCCACGATATTCTAGGTGGTTTGTAACTGCCTTTCATGCTGGGCCTCAGTCCCTTTCTACCACACTGTCAGGCAGCATGGCCATGATAGAAGCTGGCTACTGGTTTCTGTATGCTTACCTTTTATCTAGCTATTTTATCAGGCTCTTACAAACTTATCTATTCCTTGCTGGTTCTCCCGAGTTTGCCAGATGATATAAGCAGGTTTTCTCAAATCTCATCATAGGCACTCGTGATCAACACTTCCAACCTTGGTTAACTGTTTCGAGGACACAGTAATTCCTCCTGTGTACTTCCCCCCACTTTTTAATTCGGAAAACTTCCAAACACATAACCAAAGGAAAGAGAATGGCAAATAACAAATCCTCACCATCATTCACTTCAACAGCCATTGGTATTTTCCAATTTTACCCACCTCCAGTTTTGAAATTTAGAAATAATAATGCTAATATGTGTTTTGCCACTCAGGTATGCCCTTTAAGACTTACCTGTGCAACTCCCTGCTTCAGGGCAAAGTTTTTTTACAGTATTAGGCAGTGAACATAGGGCCTTCCCACTGAGCCCTCACCTCGCCCCTTTATATTGTGAGACAGGTTCTAGGTTGCCTCAGCCTCCCAGAGTGATGAGATGACAGAGGTTTTACTTGCCCAAACTGTCCAAGATGATCCTACCTGCCTCCCAGGCTACTTCCCACCACAGCCAGAGCACACCTGCCTGCATCTACAAAGCCTTATTCCCACACGGTGCCTGACACATACAGGTGGCGGCTTGGCCCCTGGTCACATCTGCTCACTCGCCTGGTACCCTAGCGGCACCATCCAGTGTAGCCCTCACCGGAACTCTAGCCAGCCTGACTCCAGGCCTGCAGCACTACAGCCCCATGGCCTGCTGCTAGGAAACACTATACTGAGTACCGAGAGAAGGCAGTGAGGAGGGGTGAGCATCCCCTCCTTCAAAGTGCCCACAAAGTTGGGAAAAACTGCCAAAAACAATCACATCTGCCCTGGAGCACTGTTTGCTCCTGAGATTGCCAGCCCTCAGGGGTAAGCAGCAAGAGTCTGGTGGTCTTTATTAGGTGTCTCTAGTCTCTCTGTGATGTGCGGTCTCCTTCACAAGCTGGCAAGGCCCTAAAAACCATCAGTATCAGTGTTATTGTCAAAAAAGGGCTTGCTGGATTGAGAGCGCTGTTTTAGAGTGGAGCTCAGCACACAAGGGAGTGTGAGACAGCACGGCCTGAGGTCAATGGATGGGCAGACCAGCCACAGACTTTCAGGAATTCTAAGAGAAGACTCTGCTCTAGGGACAAGCTCTCCACATGCCTAGGCAGGCTGAGTGTGTGTGCATGGTGCACAGGCAAGAGCACATCCAAGCCACCAACATACTGGGTCAACAACAGAGCCCATAAGCAGGCCAGGAAAAATGAGAGCCAGCAGGCTTGAACCTGGCCTGAGGGTAGAATATATGCCATCCACACACCTAGCTAAACAAAGTGGAGGCTTGAGCACAACCTGCGAGCCCTCTCTGCTGTGCAGACACAGGAATGAAATCCCTGGAAATAAGGCAAAGCAATAAAACAAGAAAAAGTGAGCAGAGATCTATCAGGATAGACAGACTTCAGATTTAGGCCAGGACAGTCATAAAAAACAACACCATCACCACTCTTACTACGCTGGAATAAATCAGAATCCAGAGTTGCTACAACATACTAACCAAAATATTCAGTATTCAACACAAAATTGAAAGATATTCAAAGAATTTGTGACCCACACTCAGAAAAAAGGACTTAACAGAAGACCTGACGTAGGCTTGGGAACAGAATAAGCCCCCTAGCCTGCGAGTTGTGTTCTAGTTGACCTTGTCTGGACACAATAAAAGGCACTAACAATAGATGGAACCGGAATTCCACTTTGCTAATTTTTATTTTTCCTCACAAAGATGCTTCCTCTAGGTACCTCGAAAGGGAAGACAATGTGCAGGTCAGGACTTGGACACTCCTGGAATCTCGAGCCAAAAAGTCACCTCAATTCTCTCACCACTTCAGGGTATTAAAAATCTGCTGAGTGGGGGTTCCCAGCCTTTGCTAATTGCCTATCACAAGTGCAATTCCATGTAAAAGGTCCAACTCGCACCTAAGTCAGCCACCTTGTACCCTCATCCTCTTTTCTTTTCAGCTTGCCCTGGAGGTCAGAAGCCTGGCCAACAGTTTCCACCTAGAATACTTGGGCAGGGCCAGGCATGGTGGCACACGCCTGTAATCCCAGCAATAGGGAGGCTGAGGCAGGAGGATTGCTGTGAGTTCGAGACCAGCCTGGGCTACACACTGAGTTCCAGGTCAGTCTCAACTACACAGTAAGACCCTGTCTCGAAAACAAAACACCAAATGGGGTACTTGGGAAGTGCCTGTAATTTCTCCATCTTATAGTGCTTCAGGCTTTACTAACTCATGGACACATCTGCTAGACAGAGGACACTGCCACTGGCCTGACCTACTCCAGGCCCAGGCCCTGAAAGCTGACCAACAGGGTAAGGGCTGTTTGGGAAGCATGTGTGTCAGTCATTAGCGATGATTTTACAATGTCGGCAGACAGGAACACCACAGAAAAAGCAGAAATTACAAACAGACTCTGGACAAAACAGAATCAGAATATAAACTCAATCTTGTCTTTAGCCACCTTTTTGGTTCCACATCTAATTATGATAAAATCCTAGTGCCAAAGATGACCATGAATATCATGGACTCTGCGACTTATGATGCAACATTCCCAAGATAGGGCTTGTGTCACTAATGTCACAATCCCTCAATTTTCAAGCACTCAACATCAAATACTCTATGAAGTAGTGAATATCATGCAATGAGACCCTTCCCTGAGGCTTCCCGGGAAGCTACATTATTTTTTTTAAATTGAGTTTATTGGTACATTTTAGGTATATAGTACAGTTACATTCATCATTGGGATCCTGTACCTTCACATGACAGGTCTTGGTTCTCATTTTTTCCCCTTGTCCCTGCCCTCCCTTAACCCCCTCCTCTCCTCCACTTTTACAAACACTTTATTTCCATTTTTTCATTTTCTCATACTTTTTTCTTTTCCCTTATTACCTTTCCCCTACCCTTCCCACTTTCCCTACACCTTTAGCCCTTTTCTTCCTAGCTACATTATTTAGTAATAGTTTGGAAGAATTCTTTGCAAACTTGCTAAAGGTGATAGAGGTTACTCAATTGCTTGTTCTGAAGTATGTCCAGGCTAAGGTACTGTGTGCTGTGACCATGGAAGGAAGCCAAAAGCTAACTGTTGTGCTGAGAAAAAAACTACCTTTGCCAATAAGTTACCCACAGGTAATTATGTCACCAAACACTTGGATTAGTCAAAAACACCCATGCACAGTAATAGCACTGCAGGCCTTTACCAGACTTGAGAACAGCTGAGAGGGGCAACTTTTGGGGAAGACTGCCAACTGTGAAGCCTGGTATGAATAGAATTACCAAAATTGTGAAGCATTCAAGGACATTTAAATACAAATTAGATTCTACAATCTAGATTGTTATATAACAGGAAATATATTTGGTCTTCACCCCCATTTCCTGTCACAGAGCTCCTAAAATTCTTGGAATCACCAAAGTGGTATTTTACTTTGAGATGACTGGTGGCTAGGGATTCCTAGTTAGCCCAAGGATGGGAGCTGGCTGATCGAAGGCTGGCACCCAGTGACAGCAGGTGGCACTTTCAGCCCTAAAATGACCTCTGGGAAGGGGAGAAGGGCTATAGGCTGAGCAACTTAGTCTGTGCCTAGATAATAACCCCCCCCCAAAACACCCTCACAACAGTGTTAGGAGAGCATTCAGGTTGGTGGTAACATGGAGGTACTGGAGAGGTACCTACCTGGAGGGCAGCTCCATACCACTCTCCCATACCTTGCCTGTCACACTTTCCCCATCAGGCTGTTCCTGAGTTATATCCATTATAAGAAACCAGTATTCTGGTAAGCAAACTGTTTTCCAGAGTTCTGCAAACTATTCTCACAAACTATGGAACCTGAAGGGGTGGTTCTAAGAACTCCCAATTTTAGCCAGATGGTCACAAGCGATTTGTGACTGCCCCGAGAGGAGGGATGGGGGCAGAATCCACCTTGTGAGACTAAACCCTCAAACTGTAGATTCTGTGTTAACTTGGTCCAGTCAATGGCAACATGGGCAAAACTTTGGGGTGGCCAGTGGACATTTGCTGAAGAAACAAAACCAACTGCTGTGGAGGAAAACCCACATCTAGTGTTACAAATTAAATTTCTATGGATGTACAGAAAAAGTTTCTTTCCTTTAATAAGAAATAAATAATTGTTAATATGGGTTGAGAATCTCTTATCCAAACTGCCTAGAATAAGAAATCTTTCAGATTTTAGTTTTTCAAATTTTGGAATATTTCCAGATTTTACCCTGTAGTGTTAAATGGGATGATGGCAGGGTAGTTTACTAAAAACAAGACAAAAAAAACCCAAAACTGTGAGAGATACATATCGAAGTATGTACAGGTAAAATGACATGGAGGTAGGTAACAACTTGCTTTAAAATACTTACAAAGAAAAGATTGGCAAAATCCTCAATGTTGGAGCTGGATAACGGGCACACTTTGGTAAAAAGGTTCATCATATTCCCCGTATTTTTACCTTTTTAATTTCCATCATGAAAAAATGAAAAGCAAAGATAAAACAATACTTTCAGTTCTTATTAAAATACTTGCTGCCTAGCCCTCAGGCATGGTGACACACGCCTATAATCCCAACTACTCTAGAGGATGACGCAGGAAGAATGAATATTAGAGGCCAGCCTGGGCAATTTTGCGAGATCCTGTTTCAAACATAAAAGGTCTGCAGAGGGGCCAGGGATTTAGCTCAGTGGTTCCACTGCCTGCCTTGCAAGCGCAAGGATTTGAGTTCAATCCCTAGTACCCCCCACTCCCAAAAAAAAGGCTGCAGAGACATTGCTCAGCAAGGCTCTGGATTAAATCTCCAGCACCACAAAGAAACAAAAATGCTATTTATTCCCAAATAGCTCTAAGAAGTAGGTCTCAGATGGGCCTGAAACATATAGCACCCAGATGGTCCTGGGAACACAGGGTGGAAAAAAGCTTGCTTTTCAGGAATATGCTGTCTACTGGTGCCTCAGCTGCTGCAGTCAGCCAATCTCACTGCATCCACCCACATTTTATGGTTGTACTCTAGCCCTTTATAAAAGGCCATTATAAAGCAGTCATATAAATCTTACTTCTGCCATTAGCCCTAAGAAAGCTACTTAGGAAACTGTGAAGTACCTTATTCAGTATCTTCTATAAAATGATCCATGAAAAGATTTAAATTTTCTACTTCAAAATATTGTAGATCTGTTAGGCATAGTGGTACACACACATAATCTCACCACTTTGGAAAGATAAGGTAGGAGGATCACAAGCTCAAGTCCCACCTGGGCAACTCAGAGAGACTATCTCAACATTACAAACAAAAAAAATCCCAGATCTAACCCCACCAAAAAGATTCCATTAGAAATCCCAATAACAAATTAAGGTATTGTATACAAAGCCACCAGAACATTTAAACATTACATTACTGGTGAGAGTATAAAATAGTACAAGCAGTTTGGAAAAAATCTGGCAATTTTATAAACAAAATAAATATCTACCACATGATCCAGTAATTCCATTCTCTAAACAACTGAAAACAAATACTCAAATACATACTTGAACATATTCACAGCAGTATTAAAACAGCAAAAAGGTGGAAACAGCCTAAATACTCATCAGAAATGAAGAGATAAACAAGTTGTGGTCTATAAATAACTATCCAGCCATATGCATCAATGAACCACTAACACATGCTGCAGCACAGATGAATGTCAAAGACATTGTGCCAAGGACAGACAAACTTTATTTACATGAAATGTCAAACAGGGCACCTTCATGGATGCAGATTTTCTTCTGGATAAAAATGTTCTGGAACTAGACAGGTATTGGTCAAACAACACAGTGAATATACTAAACACCACAAAATTGTACACTTTAAGGGTTAATTTTAAATTGAATGAATTTCTCTTCAAGAAAAATAATAGGAAGCACTGACAGACATACACAACATGAATCAATCTCAAAATACTGTGCTGAATGAAGCATTATATAAAAGAGCACATAACTGTGAGATTCCATTCATAGAAAATCCTAGAATCAGCAAAACTAATGTATGGCAGAAAAATACCTGCCTGTAGGAGTAGCACAAGACAGGTCAGGAAGGACTGGTAGAAACTTCCAATGCTGCTATGGGTATTCTATGTGCTAGGAGTTCAGTTTACACATAATTACGGACTTGCTAATACTTTTCAGTGTAAAGATCGTGCATTTCAGGGTTGGGGGTACAGATTGGTAGTAGAATGCAGGCTTAGCATGTACACTGCGCTGGGTTTGGTCCTCAGCACCCCTGCCCATCCAAAAAGACCTGCACATCTTATTAGAGGTATATTTTACCTTCAACTCCCCATCACTAAGTTTCCAGTTGATGATGTGAACAGTGTAATGCTCAGAGATAAAACTATCATGAGGTCTACAACTTACTTTAAAATCCATCAAAACGGAGAGATCAGTGTCAATAAATTTTCTTAAAAGGGACAAATGCTTAATATTTCTAGGCTTAGGAGCAAATCCCTGTAAGTAGTACTCACTTCCCCCATTATAGTGCAAAAGCAGCTATAGACAATCCTTAAACAAATGGGGTGGCTATGTGCTAATATCACTTTTATTTAAAAACCCAGGGACCTGGTGGCCAGGGTTTGCTGTCCCTGGCATAGTCATACGATAGAGCGCAAATAGTTAAACACTGTGCCATGGTGTATTTTCCTTACTATCATGACCTCAAAGACAAATCTCTACCCAAGCAAATATGATGCATAGAAGGCCCTTTTACCAATTTCCTTGGGTGCTTCTTTTTTCATTCTACAAGATGCAGTGTTCTAAAAAACAAATTGCTTCAAAAGGAAAAAAAAAAAATAACAGTACTTCAAGGAGTGGCAACTTCACCTGCTTCTTCTCACAACTTATTGTCAGCTCTTCCTCTCTTGGATCTCAGAGATGTGTCAGAAAGAAGAGTGGAATCAGCACTGACTGGACCCTGAGGCTGCAGCTTCTCAATCCATGCAGCAGACTTTGGAAACACAGGGTACTTACACAAATAAGGAGATAACGGTGGTGCAGTATCATGAAGGGAGAAATTCCTCACCCTGTATTAAGATCTGTTTCTTTCAATCATCATATTTATATAAATTAGCAAAATATACTGACATAAAATTTATTATCTAACTTTAAGTGCACAGTTCGGCAGCATGTGTTACATTCACAACACTGTACAACTATCACCACTATTCCATTTTTCATGCTTTAAATGAAACTTTGTTCCCTCAATCAATAACTCATCAACTTCTCTTCCCTCAGCCCTGGGTAACTCTTACCGAATTTGTTTCTATGATTTTGCCTCCTCTAGCTGTTTCAGTTGAGCAGAATCATATAGTTATCTGTCTCCCAATATCTGGCATTTTTAACTCAGCATATTTTCAAGTTTCACTCTTGCTGCAGCATGTATAAAAACTCATTCCTGCTGGTGACCAACAGTTGGGCAAGTTGGACTGTTTCCACCTTCTGGCTCGTGTGAATAATGCTGTAATGAATGCTGCATACAAGTGTCTGAATCCGTTTTTAATTTGGGGGGTAAATACTGAGGTCTGCAGCTGCTATGGTAACTATTACAATTACCACCTTGAGGCACCATCAAACGGTTCCACAGTACCTACAACAGTTTACATTCCTGTGGGCAAGGCACATGTTCCAATTCTCCATGTAAGTGAAGTGTCGGTTCAGTACAGTTTTTAATTCTTACTTCCCTGATGACTAACAGTGTTGACTATCTTTTCATGTGCTTATTGACCAGTTGTGTATATTTTCAGAGAAATATCTTTTCAAGTCCTTTCCCTATTTTAATTAGACTGTTCATCATTTTTGTTGAGTTACAAATGTTCTCATATATCTGTATATTAAATCCTATCAGATATATGATTTATAAATATTTTTCTAATTCTGTAAACTGCCATTCTGTTTTCTGAATTAGTCTTTTGGTACAAAAAAAGTTGAATTTATTTATTAACTTTTAATTTTCTTGTTTTGTCTGTTTTTTGGTACTGGGGATTGAACTCGGGTCCTTGTGCTTGTGAGGCAGGCAGTGGAACCACCGAGCTAAATTCCCAGCACATTAACTTTTAATTTTTATTATTTTTCTTTTATTGAGTCTGCCTTTAGTGCTGCATCTAAATTTGTTACTAATCAAGGAATGTCCAACATGCAGTCTGCTGCTTTTTCCTGTTATAACTATTAAAGAAGTTTTGTTATTTACATAAATTGTACTACATATTTTATACACAGTCCTAGATCATTCCTCCAACAAAGGAAGGCACACAAAGATGGGCCATATGTTGGACATGTTCATAATAAGGTCATGAAAATTTACCCATTTTTTCCTAAAAATTTTTAAAGTTTTAGCTCTTATACTAAGTTCACTAATCCACTTTAAGTTCATTTTCATCCATGGTGTGACGGAGGGGTCTGACTTCACTCTCTAGCACTCAAAACTTCTATTGCCCCACAATCATTTCTGAAGACACTGTTCTGTGTCTTTTTTGTTTTTGTTCGTGATTTTTCAGACAGGCTCTATGTAGCCCAGGATGGCCTCAAACTCACGGCAATCTTCCTGCCTAAGCCTCCTGGATGCTGGGATTAGACGTGTGTGCCACCACACACTCAGCTTCTTTGTTCTTTTTTTTTTCGTACCAGGGATCGAACTTGGGACCTTGCGCTTGCAAGGCAGGTGGTGGCACCACTGAGCTAAATCCCCGGCCTGCTTCTTTGTTCTTTTAATGGACTTGGTATCCCTGGAACACATCCACTGGCTCTAGATACATGGGTTTACCTCTGGACCCACAATTCCACTCCATTGGCCTAAGTTCCTGTCAGTACCAAATTGTTGTGATTATACATATGATTAACTTGTCTGTAAACAAAAATATTTACAAAATAATCTGAGAGGTGGGCAGACTCCTACCTGAGAACACAACTGGTCTGGAGGACTGCTTGGCCTGCTGGGCATGCTGCTTCTTCTCCAGTGCTGCCAGCATGCCTCCCAAATCCAACTGCACTGGAATCTGGCTTTTCTTTCCACTATTTTTAAAATTATTCTAAAAAGTTCAAAAAATCATAAGTTTACTTATAATACTATTTGATACACTGAGCTTTTTTTCATTTTACATTATAATTAAAAGATTATAATGATAAACTATAAAAGTCTTTTTTTTTGGTACTGGGGATCGAACTCAGGTCCTTGCACTTGCGAGGCAGGCAGCAGAACCACTGAGCTAAATCCCCAGCCCCATTTTTTTTTTTTTTTTTTTTGGTTTTTTGAGACAGGGTCTCACTATGTAGTTCAGACTGCTCTGGAACTCACTGTGAAGCCCAGGCTGGTCTCAAACTCAAAGCGATTCTCCTGCCTCAGTCTCCCGGGTGCTGGGATTACAGGTGTGTGCCACCATGCCTGGCTAGTCATATATTTTTAAAAAATCAAATAACTGAAGAAAAACCACCAATCTCACTTTATATGCCAACAGTATTATAGCTATTTCCTCCTTTTAGAACACTGGGTTTGTATTAAGTTACCTTCAGCTCTGTCTACATCTCCATTGTGACTATGGGTATATCTAGATGCCAAGGCTTATCTAATACAATCATTGGCTACAAACGTTTATGTGTGAGTCTCCTTGGTTATCATCTCTAGCACCATTCTCTAACTGCCCACATGAATCAACGAACTTCCATGAAATGACAGGACCAAAATCTACATAAGTGCAAGTCACACCCAGCAGATAATACCAAATGCAGGCCCGAAGTTTGATGTACCCTAAGCAAATGTTATTTTAAAACGCCTGTGATTTGAATTTTGAGACTGCACACAAAGATGTAGAAGCAAGCCCTGGGACACATCCTCAGGCATGCTGGACCTCTACTCTAAGACTTCCACACCTTCTCTCCTGCCCTGTCACCAACAACCCTACTGGCTGTGGGCTCCCAGCAGGGAGAGCACCCAGTGCAACAAAGGCAGGTAAGGACACCTGCTACAGGGATGGAGGACGAGGGAACTATAATACAAGCACTTGAGGTTTTAGAATGTCATTTTTTCAGATGTAAAAATTATTTTCAAATTATCTCCATCCTTTAAAAAGTAAAATGATAAACACACTGGAGAATAAATGCCCTGAAGTATGCTCCCCATCTAAATTATGATTCACCATTCACTGCCAAACCCATGAGGCCAGGGGCTGGGTTACAATCACCTCCCCACTGGCTTCTGTACTGACCGCTTACAGTGAAAGTTTGGTGCTTAGTTTTCCGGTCATACATCACCACCTTGTAAAGAAATTGTTTCCTGAATCAAGTGAGTCAACTGTCTTTCCATTAAAGTTTCAGAAGGCAGTTGGTGTCCACACCTTTCTGACAAAGCAACTGCAGTTACCAATAGTTTCATTACAAATGGGACAGAGGGTTTTAGCTTGGGAGCAACTTTGTTTCAACACATGGGATCTGTTGCCCATGAAGGAATGAATCAAAACAAATATTACCTATCTCAGTAAACAAAGGTGCCTGAAAAGTAGTTTTTTTTCAAGAGTTCAGTTTTGCAAGGAAAGGTAAGCATATAGCAATTGTGGTTTCAATCTAAAAATTACCTGTGGCTGCAGTTTAGATTGAAATTTCGGTGACTCTACTCTGTCTCTTCTTTCAGATGCAACTGCCAGATTGGGAAACTCCTCGGCATCCTAAGTAAACCACACACCCCTTTAGCTCTTCACTCATCAGGATAATGCAAATATGCCAAGTGCAATTTTTTCCTTCTTTAATAAGACCTCAGGAAAGTTCTTAACAGTGATGCAGAACAGCCCCAAAATGCTAATTTAAGAGCCTACTTTAATTCTTAAAGGTAAATTTGAAGATCATACTTTTTTTTTTTTTTTTTAAGTTTTCTTGAGACAGGGTCTCACTTTATAGTTTAGGCTGGCCCTGAACTCATTATGCGGCCCAGGCTGGCCTCGAACTCAAGGAAATTCTCCTGCCTCTGCCTCCCAAGTGCTGGGATTACAGGCTGTGCCACCATGCCCAGCTCTAAAGTTCATACTTTTAATGTTCACATCCCAGAAAAAGAGAGAGTACCACCAAGAATCCCAAGGGGCCTATAGAACTGGCCCTACACTACAGCGTCCAAACGCCTGGGTTTTTTGTTTTTTAGCAATACAGTAGGTCCCCAACTTATAAACATTTGAGTTGTGAACTTTTATACATACTAACAAATCTTGATGCAAACTTGTGTACGTAGCTCACATGAATTGTGGACACCATCACAGTTGTGCTGTTTAATGTAGTGTGATAGTATAGAATAATATAATACAGCTAAGGATTTACTGTATGTGTGTTAGGTTTCTTTACGCCTTACATTGTATATCTGAGTCAGACTCACTTCATTGAACTTACCAATGAATCGAGTTACAAATGTTCTCTCAGAACACAACCTGCTATTAAGTCGGGGACTTACTATACTAGGGACTGAACCCAGGGCCTTTCCACTGAACTTCATACCAAGACTCCCTTTTTATTCTTTTTTTTTTTTAATTCTCAGAGAGAGAGTCTTGCCAAGTTGCTGAGTTGTCCAGGATGGGTCAAACTTGTACTCCACCTGCCTCAGCCTCCCAAAGTGCTGGGATTACAGGTGTGCACCCCCATGCTCAGGTCAAGACCTTGTTCTTTAAGGACTTTGTATTAGAAAACCCATCAAATCTACATTCAGTAAAGTAAGTGTTCTCAAATTTGTGCGTTCTTAAGTTTGTGCTCAACTAGACTAGTCAATAGAGACAAAAGCAAAAGCCTGCTAAAAAAAAATTTTTTTTTTTTTGGTACCCGGGATCCAACTTGGGTCCCTGCACTTGCAAGGCAGGTGGCAGAACCACTAAGCTAAATCCCCAGCCCTAAAAAAACAATTTTAAACTCATTAAAAACTATCCTCTGCAATGGGTGCAAGTTGCATTATTTGGCGAGGGGACAATCAAAGCTGATAGAGGGTGCTAAAAATCCCAAACATTTTCAATGATACAGATTTATATCTTAAATGCCAACAAATGCTCTGAATTTATCAATACTTATTTCAATTTACTAGTCATTTTCTAAATAAAACTCAATAATAATTTTATTTCATGTATCATCCCCAATTTGCTGATAAACCATTAGCACTTTATACCATGTTTGCAACTATCTCATCTCTGATCATACAGGAATAATTTATATGACTTAATTCAGCTTGCAATATTGTGAACTGCTTCTTCAAAGTATACTATTGAATTCTTAGATAAAAATATTAATCCACAATAATTGGTTTAAATAAGCCATGTGATAAAACTGGTGCACAAAATAAATGGTTTTCACTCACTACGTATTGATACAGAGTATCTACATTTTTCAGAGTAGCACACCTTTGATTTTATTTCTGAAACTCTGTGAATATAAATTCCTTTGGAAAAAAATTTGCTATTTTTCTGTTAGTTACTAGCACCTAATGTTCAAAATTAACTCCTCCCAGCAGTCCTGGCCACCGCAGGCCATTGTACTTAATAATTTTTTCCTTCAGTCTTTATCACTGAGAGAGTGAAACTTCAGTTCTCTAATGCTGATTTCCTGATGTAAATGTACCTTACTCGCTAAATAGAGCAAATAAAGATTTAAAAATCCTAAGTCATACTGTCAACACTTTGTCGTTCTGACAACATTTTAGGTACTCTGGAAAAAGTACTGTGGGAAACACAGGTTAGAAATGTACACTATTCTCCCACCCAGCCAAAATGCTCTGGCATAGTAGTTCTTCAAACAGGGACCTCTACCCTTGAATGGGCATCCAGGAGTCTTGGGACCTGCCCCTTCAGATCTGTAGGAATATCCCAGGCTTGACCCTAAGGCTGGCCATCGGGCAGCATTTCTTGTGCTTGCAACTAGCAGCCAGGATGCTTGAGTCTGTTAAGGCAGTGTGAAGCAGGCCCACGAGGAACAGAGTGAGCACCTAGGATGGCTCCTTAAGTGTATTTGGACATTACTGGAGGGTCCTGGAAAGGACTTTACAACAAGATTTCTAAGTAGAAAAGGAGACTCTGCAAAATCCAGCAAGGAAAACAACACAAAAGAGAACTGAGGCACAGCAATTATTCAACTCCCATACAACTAGTTTTGTCTTCACTCAAGATTAACTTTTTTTTTTTTTTTTTTGAGACAGGGTCTCACTGTAGTTCAGGTTAGCCTTGAACTCACAGTGAACTTGGCCTCGAATTCACGGCAATCCTCATGCCTCAGCCTCCCCAGTGCTGGGACCACAGGGGTGTGTCATTACACCTGGCTTTGTCTTCATTTAAATGTTTACTGAGTTAAATATTTACTGCCGTGAGCCAAATGGAAAAGAGGAAGAAAGCAGGTGTCTGCCATGCTCTTTAGCACTACGAAAGGAGTTATCAGAGAAAATGCTGGATATATGCACTCAGGAAATCAGTGTGAACCCACGTGCCTATTAAGAAAGACCATTTTGTTATAACATACTATGTAGGTAATAAATATAAATGTACTTCAAGTCTGGGTGGCTCTTGAACTGTCAGGACTTCATATTTTGATTTGGACTTTTCTTTCTTTTTCTTATTCTTTCTTGAGGCTTCATTTTGTTTCAGGTCACCACCTTGTGATGCTTGGGACTAGAACACAAAGGCAAAAACTGTGTTTTAGAGCATGCAGTACAATCTTTAGTATCGTGTATCAGAACAAAATTATAATATCAAGTTGTGCTGGATGTGGTGGCACATGCCTGTAATCCCAAACACTGAGGGAGACTGGGGCAAAAGGATCCCAAATTTGATTCCCACTGGGAAACTCAGCAAACACCTGTCTCAAAAAATAAAACAGGGGCCAGGGATTTAGCTCAGTGGTTCTGCTGCCTGCCTCACGAGCTCAAGGTCCCGAGTTCAATCCCTGGTGCCAAAAAAAAAAAAAGTAATAATAATAAAAATAAATAAAATAGGTCAGGGATGTAGCTTATGATAGAGCATACCTGGGTTCAATTCCTAGTTCTGGGGGAAAAAAATCATCACTTGTAATCTTGGACTAATAAATAATCCTATTTCTCAAGATGCAAGTACAATAAGCTCAGATTAATGAATACAGGACAGTATCAAAATGTGACACATACCTTTTTTCCAGTTTTTAGACTGCGGAACAATACAGAAAAGTTGTACCATCTTAGCCATGTTTCAGCATAAAGTTCCATGGCATTACATGCATTCACTGTCATGCAACCATCACCACCCTCCATCTCCATGGAAAATTTCTTCTTGTAAAACTGTACCTCTAAACATTAACTCCAGATTCCCCTTCTCCTCAGGCCCCAGCAGCTACCATCTTATTGTCTCTAGTAATACATACCTTTTTAGTAGGGTGGACATGTTTCTCTTTGTTGTAGGAAGGATCTGAAGACAAAACTTCAGAAGATGACACACTAACACTTTTAGGATCTGCTGATGAAACAACCCTCTTTAGGTTTATTACAGAAGTAACATTTTTAGGAGCAGGTGAAGGTTCTAAAGATGTCTGCCGAACAATATATCCCATTGGTGTCCAAGATAACTCTGCTCAAAGATAACCAAAATTGTTGAACAACCTCAACAGTAAACAGAAATTCTGCAGCTCCTTAAACATGCATTACATGAGTAAGTGCTCAGATGTAACTAAAATTAAGCTACTGTCCAAAGCATTTCACTGGAAATCACAGTATTTGATAAATTTGTTTTTTCTTCTAGGAGCATGCATCCTCAATTTTTCTCTTTAACTTGTAAGGTTAATTGATTTTTCTAGTTTTTTTCACTGGGGGTGAGGAGGGGGCTATGGAAGTGGGAAGACAAACAATATTCTGGTTAAAACACAATCCACGATAATGTCCATGTGGTAAACACACAGAATTGAAGAGCTAAAGATCAAAGTTTGGCCCTACTAACCTTGATGTGTACCTTTAACATCAGAAGTTAAAGATCACTAGACTTCAGCTATCACAATAACTGGTAATTTATTTCTTTCAGAACACAGGTGTTAAGTACAGCAACACTACTCCTCCTAGGTGCCCATGAAACTCTATATACAGACAAAACAAAGGGACATCCATCAGGACATGGGCACAGGAACACCCGTCCGCAGCCTGAGGTGCCCCCAAGGGGTCAAACTGTATCGAGTCACACACACTCAGAATAGCCTTGGAAATGAAGAGCCATATGGAAACACATGAGAATGCAAAGGAAAACACACCAGTGAATAAATCTGAGTCTTCCAGTAAGACAAGCTATCACAAAATTTCAAAAGCACAATCTATCATACTTTTTCTGAATAAATTATTTCTTAGCTGAGACAGAAAAGATGAGCTCCTGGGATCCTTTCAGGGGAAAAAGCATTAAAGTGTCAGTTGCTGTTCTAACTCTCCTTCTGACTAAGGAGTGTGCCAAGGCTCATGGCATGTGACAGCAAAACAGATAAACACCAAAGTGGGTCTATGGAGCTAGGTGTTAAAGACTCGCCTAGTGGTGAAGCAAGGCTCACTTGTTTTGTAACTCTGGAAAAGTTTTAATAAAAAGAGGTGTTCATTTTTAATAAAAAGAAGTGTTTATTTTAAGGAATTAGGGTTTTAAAAATTTGTTTTTACTTTGAACATGGCAAAACTGTCACCCAAACAAATAGCTCTTTGGGGCTCTCATTTTTTAAAGGTATTCATTCGTTCATTCATCCAGGGGTCCTGATACCAAATCTTTAAAAAATAGGTAACACAGAAGTAGTCATTTTTAAGGTTCATAAAATTCTCACTTAATTGGACATATGTTTCAATTAAAATTCTCATTTTTCCACAGTCCCACAGATGTGGGACCTCATTTACTTAAATATTATGAATTAACACTGATACTAGTTTATCAATAACTCATGAGCTGCCTCAAAGAAGGCTTTAAAACAAAAACCATCTAATTGTACTGGAGTTAATAACGAGCTTGAAAAATATATAAGTTGTTTTTTAAAATAGTATTTTGTAGTGACTCTTACCTCTTGTACATGATGGGGAACTGGAAGCAGCATTATCAACATATTCATTTGGGTTATTTTTCATCACTATCTAAAAAGAAAATATATCAGCTGTCATCAGGGAAATGCAAAACAACAATCTACCACTGCACAACTTTCAGAGTACACAGACACTGCCAAACTGTAGTAAGGACAGAAGGGAAAAGAACCATAATTTGCAGCTGGTGAGAATGCACAAGGTACCCCTTCAGACAGTTGTCCACAATGGGAGAAAGAGGCTGGGGTCAGGGAGGCGCCCATCATCTACCCTCCTAGCTGGTTTTGGCCCCTCTGGTTGGGCACTGACCACCTGTCCTTTAATTACTGGATTACAGTTCTTTTGCTCCCAGGGAATACACAGTGCTGGCACAGGACTGAAGCAGAGCAGCACTCAGGAGATAATCAAATCACCGACCATCTGAATGAATGAATGACATCTGAAGGACAGGTAGCATTTCAACAGTAGGAAATGGGAGAACAGGCTAAAAGATAGAATTCAAAATAAATAAGCCACAGGGAGTGATGAACCCCTGTACTCCCAGCACTCAAGAGGCTGAAGCAGGAGAATCCTAAGTTCAAGGCTAGCCTGGGCCACATAACAAGTTCAATGACAGTCTAGACTACATAGCAAGACCTTGTCTCAAAAGAACAACAACAAAAAAAAATCACAAAGAAATGGCTACCTGTTCAAGAAAGGTTAAACCAATTACTGTGTTTCTACAGTATCAATGGGACAGAGCCAATGTAAGAGTTTAAAAATATCTGACAGAAGAAAATGCCAACAAGGTTTTTAAAAATTGAAATAGTCCAGATATCATCCCAAATAGAGAACTCTCTTCTATTTCTACTGAATCCTACAGTTTAAGTCCTACACATGGTTTTTCTCTTGGTTGTATAATTTTAGACAATCATATTTCCATTTTTAGCATTTTCTGTCATTTATAGACAATGATATAATCAAGAAAAAAAGGTTTCTTTTAGGAAAAAACAGCCCTTATGTAATTGAAGATAATAAGGCATTCACTATGTAAATGTTCCTCCATAAATGGATGAACCTTACGTTCAAACACATAACACTACGACATACAAATGCCCTCAATTACAAAGTCACCGGGCAGCTGCTGACACCATGACAGCCCTATTGCAGCTGGCATCTCATCCAGTACTGTTTGGTGTGCCACTCACGTGAAGACTAACCAGCCACTGCACATACAGCACAGGGCAAAGGAAGCAGCTGCTCCTCTGCTGCTGAACTGTGATTTTCACATGGCCATCAGCCTGCCTTACTTTCCACAGCTACCAAACAGGGAAAAACACAATGCTACAACAACACTACACAGCGGGAAACCTGCACTTAGCAGCAGTCTGCAATAAGTCCCAAGGCAGCTTTCCTTGTAACAGAAGGGTGAGCCATTTTTTGTTCTTTTTCTCTGTCCTTGTTTTCATACTGCTTTATACCCCATCTCCCCCTTCAGCAGAAATTTATCAGAAGCCATTTTAGGGATTACTAACCCAACACCATTTTTTACTGGAAGTCTGAAATCCATCTGTTTGAGGAAACTACCTCAATCTGGTAGACTAAAATATTCAGGGAAAATGTTGAATACTATGTAATTTAATTTAAAATTATAAAGTGAGCTGAGTATGGAGGTGCATGCCTATAATCCCAGCACTCCAGGGGGCTGAGGCAGGAGGATCGTTGAGAGTTCAAGTCCAGCCTGGGCTACATAGTGAGTTCACAGTCACCCTCAAACACATAGTGAGACCCTGTTCCCAAAACAAACAAAAGTAAGAAAATAAAATTCTAAAGAAACAAACCAAAAGTATCTATTACAATAATTTTTGCTACATTTGCAATTAATAAGACTGGAGATACAGATAAAGAAGCTGGAAAATTCAGAGTTACACTATGCAGTTTTAAATACTAGTTCTCTTCAAGTCTTTTTATTTGAAAAAGTACTGAGAAACTGCAATGTTACAGGTGGTATGTTAAAGTGGGCTGTCAAAGTCGGTAACTTTTTCCTTTAGCTACCTGTGGTTCTTTTAAAAAGTCAACTGGCAAGGTGTTACACAGCCTCAGTGTGGACAGCAAAATAGCAGAGGTCAGCCAAGGACACAAGGAAAGCCCCCTACCTCTTCCCTGCAACATGGACTTCACAGCCCACATCAGGATTGAATGTACAATGTTTGAAGTAAGACAAATGAAAAGGTATATGCTGAGAAGAAATAAAAACACAAGACAGACAAATTGCCCTCTCCCCCAACTTACCTCTGACATCACTCCAACTGGTTTTCCTACTTCTACAGGAGAAATGGTGGAGGTGGATTGGAGAGGTTCCCATCTGCACTGCTTCTGTATCCCTGACATACTGTTTTCTGGACCCTGCAATTCAGGAAAATCCAACCTGCTAAATTCAAACTCAGATGTAGAGGTAGACGGACTTTTTTCAGTGGTTCTGGATTTCCCGTCTGTTCGCTTATGGTAAACATCTGGAATTACACAATGAAAAATGAAGGTAAAAATTCAGATAAAATTTGATGACTAGCAATCAAGCTTAAGTTTCAGAGGGGAAAGCTTATTGCTATTGCTGCATCAGGCTATTGTCAAAATATCTTAACTTCGCTGGTGTTGCTAACCTTCTTTACAAGTAACCAGAAGTATCAATCACTCGGGCTGGGCCAGGATGTAAAAAATCAAAATGCAGTCTGAATTTTAGCTGATGAAAGTTACTCAACCTGACTGCACAGATGGGCATTTTAGTTATTCCTATTATATACTGTATTCATGGGAGGGTAGTTGAGACAGGGTCTTACTATGTAGCGCAGGTTGGCCTTGCACTCACTTTGTAGCCCAGGCCAGCCTTGAACTCACAGTGAACCTCTTGCCTTAGCCTCCTGAATGCTGGGATTACAGGTGTGTTCCAAAATGACTGGCTTCATAAGACACATTTTAAAGTTTGGTATTGCAAGTGCAAGGACCCAAGTTCAATCCCCAGTACCAAAAATAAATAAATAAATAAATAAATAAATAAATAAATAAATAAATAAATAAATAAATAA